AAATGTGTTTGGCCTCCCCAGGTTTCCAGGATGAGAAGACATCGAGGGGTGGAAGAAAAAGAGACTGTGTGAAAGCCGGCGGACTTAACACAAAGTAGCATAATGTTTGCCGTACCATGAGAGCATCCTTGGCAAGGGAAGCAGAAGCCTATGCTCAGAAGCCTGGAAATCTTTACCACAAAACAAAACACCAAACCAGAAAGCACACATTGGCCAGAGATACTGGTGGCCAACTAACCGCACCCTCTCTTGCTTTCAAAGCAGAGCATTAACTGCCATCAGCTTCAGGTGCCGATGCCAGCGAGAAGTCAGGAGGAAACTACTCCTGGAAGTCTCACTTAGCACTTGACGGCATCTTTGAAAATGTGGCCCAGGCTGAATTTGTAAGCTTTTGGGGAAAAGCGTTGTGCCAGGGCTTGTGTAAACACAGAACTGGCTGATGGATGGCCCTGGTGTACCACAGAGATTTATGCATGCTCCGGCAAAAGGTACTGAATTAACAAGTGTCTCAGATTAATACAGGGACACTAAGGGACTTCACTGGTAATTGTGGGAGAGAAACAAATGATAAGGAAGAGTTACCACACAGTGTGCCATTTTCCAGACTTCAGTAAAGGCTTGGATGCACGTTCAGATTGGATGTTTTTAGCTGAGCTGGGAGCACAGGCATGACAAAGTAGGCAAGGGATGAAGCAAGGAGAACCACAGGGCTGGAGGAAGATTGTTGGTAGAGCTCCTCAAAAAAACTGCCTTGGGATGAACATTACTTGATATTTTCCTTAGTGACCCCATTAGGAAAAGGAGGGATTGTGCTAATAACCTGAAGATGAGAAGCAGAATGTCACATTGGAAGAAATGAGTAACTTTGAAAGAGAGCAAAATGGAAATGGGGTGAAATACAGTGTAACCAACTTAGGCAGCTGGGTGCTTGTAATGAAACTTTCTGACTTTGAGCAGAAGCTCATTGGTATGGCACACAGGAGGGAGAAGACCTGTCTCAGGTGTTTGTGTGCTGCTGGTGTGACTTAGCTTCTGAAAAGGCCACTGTCAAGCGGAGGGTATCAGAAGAAGTACCAACGAATAGAGACAGGAAAACATATAATGACTGTACAGTGCACAGGCAAGATCTTGTTAGAATTACCATTCTCCAGACAATTCCCCAGTTAAAGAAAAAAATGCATTCAAGCTGGGACAAGCATGGAGAAGAGTTTCTAGGATGGTCAGAGAAATGGAAAGCCTATTTTATGAAAAAAGTGTCTACAAAATCAACTTGCTCAGCCTAGGGAGACAAAGGCTGGGAGGGGATATGACCACTCTAAAAAATACACTGGGGAAGGAAGCAGCACTTTGCAGCAATAAAAGAGCTAGCAGGCAAGAAAGAAGAGCACAACTGATCTAGCTGGACATGTAGGCTGGAAACTAGACATCTGTTTCTAACCTTCAGAGGAGCAAGGAACAGAAACAGCCTTGCAACGGGAGGAGCAAAGGCAGGCAATGTAAAGATGGACCTTGGTCGCTTACAGAAGGAATCGCACAGCGGAGCAGCTCATGCGGTCCCTCCTGTGCCTGTGACCCCGCTGAGGTCAGACCCTACTGCTGTCATCAGAGCCCTCCTCACCCACCCGTACCAAATAATCTCATCTGACTTGTTTCCAACCCACAGATTTCAGTAGATGCTCTCTCAAGGGAAGGGGAGAGGTACAAGGACAAGAAAACTCTTCATCCAGCTTTTGTGCCTAGAAATGGATTTCTCAAACACCCAGAGATTTCCAATTTGCTTCTAAATTTGGTATGTGTGTTTTTCCTCCCAGAAAACTTAAAACTTCCTCTATTCAGCAAAATAAGGGTATTCTTAAAGTTTTCCTTCTTTTTTTTTAATATAATCTATTTATACATAGTCTTTCATGCGTTCTTTGGAAAATAGTTTTAGAACTGAATTAGCAAGTGATCAAATGCCGACTATCAGAAACTTCAAACAGCAAGCCAAAAACTTTCTATCAGAAACAGCCTGCTGAAGAACAACGTAGTAGAAAAAGGATCTGAAAGATGAGGAGCAATATGCAAGCAACAGCCAGTGCCAAGAATCTCCAGGGTCTGCAAACACTTAAAATGCCAGACAGACAGGAGTAGAAAACAGCCTGAAAAGGTAGAGAGGCATAAAAAACTCTGCGTGCAACAGCGTTAAATATAAAACTCGGCTGAGTGGAAAAGAAAGCCAACAAAAACTAGAGGCTCTAGCTAAGCATCCTGCACACTGTATTCTACAGATAGCAAAGGCTGTGCAATTTAAATCTGTAATCCCTTCCCAAGCAAAGAGGCTTTTGCAACAGCGCAATCTGGATGTCACCAGCATATGAATAGGCATCTTGGGACTGCTCTGGAGAGCAGAGGTCAAAGTTTAGTGATGTATGTAGTTGTCTCCCTAATGGGTCTTATTGATTATTATCCATAGAAACAAGCAACGTCTCCAAATCTGCCTCCCCCTTTGTGCTATGTGCTGGCGACCAAGAAAGAGCACCTTGATCTTCTGGCTCCACGCAGTTTGTAGAACATTGAAGCCTGGGATGAGGAAAGACACAAAGTCGCTGAATAGACTAATGAAACACAGCAAGTGGAAAACGGTAAATAGATCTGTGTAACATCTGCATAGCAATGATACATGGGAGCACAGTGTCAAAAAATATCTAATAAAATACCACAAAAAAATTTAGGATAACGTGAGGGGGGGAAAGAGGAAGTCAACATTGCAATTCAATCACCTATGTAAGTTACGCGTTGTGGAAGGGGCTGAAAAGCCCCAGTACAGATAAAGCCAAATTCACACTTGTCCAACCGCAGGTATTCCAGCAAGGTTATCTTAAACATTGCAGTGAAATTGTCATATCTGTGATACAAAATGGTGGTAATAGGTTGGTATCTTCACAGCACAAACACAATTCTGTTGTGGCAACTTCAACAGGAGAGCAAAAATAGAAAAAGCACCAGAAGGACTGGACCAAAAGTACCAATGCTATTTTATCCTATTCTAGTGAGCACTGCTGTGGCAGCCAGCCAGCACGGTCGTGTGAGCAGAGCCATCTCAGGTAGGGCACTGGGAACCCCCTCAGGTGGAGACTAAGCCGATAAATAAGCAAGGGTAAGGGTGATTATCAGACCTCTTCAAACTTCCTGAGTTTGCAGGCTCACTCTCAAGACTTTGGTACTTCCACCTCTGGCTGCTGCTAGAAACTGGAAGTGGGGGGAAAAAAAGCCAAAACAACCCTGTCTACAATATTTCAGAATCTCAGAAGACATCCCATTTGGGTTCAGAGTTAGGAACTGTCTCAGGCGGCAGGGAGGTCCTGGCTCTCTCTGGAGATATTTGCCCACCTCCATATGGAGACACAAGGCCTTTAGGGCTGGCCCTACTG